GTGTGTGTGTGTGTGTGTGTGTGTGTATTAAGAGGTGTGTAAGATCATGAAAAATGCCAGATATGACCAGCATGCAGTCACACACTTAACAAGACAGCCTTACTGTTCGGTGAGGTGGAATCTAAATGTGTGAGTGTGTGTGTGTGTGTCATTTTGTATTTGCTCCATAGTGAGGACCGTAACTTTTTTTTTCCTACCAGAGTGAGGACATTTTTGAAAGTGAGGACGTTTTGGTTGGTCCTCACTTCCTCAAAGGCCTGTTTGTGTGTTAAGACATGGTTTATAGGTTCAGGTTAGAATTAGATTAAAGTTAGGGTTACAGGTTGGGGTTAGGCATTTAGTTGTGATGGTTAAGGCTCGGGAATGCATGTCAACCGGCGTCCTCACATAGATATAAGTATAAGGAAGTGTGTGTGTGTGTGTGTGTGTGTGTGTGTGTGTGTGTGTACAGGTGATGTCACCATTCAAACCAAACTCCACTGACCCAGTTCACATTTTTAGTGCATCCTTTTTCAAAGAGCTGACTGTTTGCTTGCGTTACTCATGTCCGCTTAGCTTTTCCTTGTGGGTGAGTGCGCTTGTGTGTCTCACCGTGCTCGGAGTCCGTCAGCAAGAAGACGTCGGGATGCTCGGGGTCGTCAGCCATCATGGCCATTAGACCCACCACGCACACACTCTTACTGGACGTCGACTTGAACTGGGTGGAGGAAAAGTGGAAACAGAGTTAACTTCTTTTCTCGTGATGACTGTGTTGTGTCTAAATGCTACTTAAGAAGAAGAAGAAATGTTAACACAGGGTGGGTGTGTGTGTGTGTGTGTGTGTGTGTGTGTGTGTAACCTATGCCTGTTGCCTGTGTGCCTGCATGTGCACTCCACAAGGTTCTCATTAGCCTGTGAGTGACACACAGGACTGCAGTGATGTCATTGGGCTCATTATTCAATGAGTGCTACCATCTGTCTGTCCCCCCACTGCGCCAGACCCCGTCCAGTCGCCCCACCACACACACACACACACACACACACACACACACTATCACTGCATCTTACGTCCACTCATTTACAGCTTTCTTCCAGTTCTTATTGTCCCTCCTGCCTCCTTTCTTTTCCTCTGAGCTCCTGTTCAGTTTCAGTAAATGTTCCTGTCAAACTGATAAAATCCAAACACTCTCACACACAAACACACACCCAGCCAGATGCACTCAACATGCTCTGCTTGTTTTTGAATTATGTCAACACTACATGAAAAATTTATTTTCTGCATTTTTTGCTACAATTTTTTTCCCCTGAGCAGACCGAGTACAAAAAAACAAAACAAAACAAAACAAAAAACTGTGTTTCTGCCAAAATTTCGCGGGACATTTAGTCCCAGGATCTACTTGGACTAAAAAGCTCCTTCTGCCAATTCTTATCTTTGTTTCCACCATGGTCTAAAGACCTGTAAAGATTAGGCAAATTAGTCAGCTGACGTATGACAAAGCAACTGGACAAGAGCTGAACACACTCTGCAGCCTGAAAAAATGAAATGCAGAGAAGGAATATTAAACTAAGAGTGTCTGTTTCCACTGTAAATAATTTGTTGAGTATCTGATGGTTATTTATTTGTCCTTAAAAATGTAACGTAACAGCCATGAAACAATCAGAAAATAGCGTTAAAGTTCACTCATTCACTGGCCTCAATTACTTAGGACGCCGAGAGCAAAGCCTAACTTAACTTGAAATGTTATCAAGAAACAGAAATGTTCTTCCCTTGTCCTAAAACGGTCCTAAATCAATACCAGGGTACTTCCTTGTTTAATAAATGAAGCAGTACACAAGGTGACCAATTAGCAATGGTCATCCCTGCAAACCCCACCCCCACAAGTTCCTGTACTTTCATTTTACTGCATCTGTGATCAGGGACTTTTTGGGGGGTAAAGGAATGTCCCTGGAAGTTCATTTAGATGCTGGTCCCTGTGGTTGAAATGCACCGAGTTCCTCAAAAAGTGTTCGGTTCCTGTGGTTGAAAAGGGGCTATAGTAAAACCACCAAAATGTCTATCACCTGCTACAGAAGTGCGTTGCATGAATGTGTCAGACTGTTACACAGACGGTGATGAATTGGTATGAATGTTTGTGTGACTTACATGTTTTCTCTCAGTGGCCTTCAGGGACTTGGCAGGGTAGTAGTAAAGCTGGGTTCCGCAGAGAGCGACCCAGTATTTGGTCCATGACGCCACCTGGAGGCACAAAAGTGAAATCTAATCATCAGCTTCAGCCTGATTTCGTCAATGAAATACTACACATGCACCATCAGACGCTTGTTGAGTAAACTGAGGGATGTTTTTTTGCGTTGGAGTTTATTACACGAGTGTTCTGTGTTTTATAACTCACTTACAAAGCTTTGAGTGGAACAGATAAAGATCAATCAATCAATCAATTTTATTTATAAAGCCCAATATCACAAATCACAATTTGCCTCACAGGGCTTTACAGCATACAACATCCCTCTGTCCTTTGGACCCTCACAAAAAAAAAAAAAAAAAAAAAAAAAAAAAAAAAACTCCCCCCAAAAAACCCCTTTAACGGGGGGGAAGAAAAAAAAAACCACAGACACAGACAAAAGAGACAAGATTAGAAAGGCAGAGAAATGAATCACTGGGTAAAGACTGTAGGGTTTGGGGAACTGAAAGTCTTTGCTTGTCTATGCTCGGTTGGATGAGCAGAATAAGAGTGCAAAATTAGCTTCTTGTTCCATAAACACTAAAGACTTTAAAGACTAATACAAGGAAAATAAAGAGTTTTCAGATGAAGGAAAAGTATGTGAGGGCAAAGGGGACAAAGTGACCCTGCTAATTAATACTCCTGGTGCAGAGAGATTTCGCCTGACTACATGGCCACATCGCGGAAAATATTTTGAAGACCTTGTTACATCATCAAAGGAGCTCGTAAATCACTCGCACTACCTATGACAGTTTAAAGTTATTTTAAATGCATAAAGAGCTGCAGATTTGTTTCCAGTCAAAACAGAATAGGATAATCTCACTGCAAATATAAAAATGGCTTGAGAGGCACAGAGCAAACCAATGCAGTGGGGGAAAATGCAAGCACAGTCAGAGGAGGAGAATTACAGTGAGTAGAGATGCACTCATCAATCAGCTGGTGACCACAATCGGCTGATTATCAGTTTGACTGCCCGTGATTGCCAACCATACAGTCAGACTCTGATATAGCTGATTTTGTGCGGATCAAATTTATATGCATGCACAGCACTATGATTAACATCACGTGCACAGTGGCTCAGAAAGTAACTGACTATTTGCACGGCCACTGTGACCCAGTCTCCATATGAGGTCTTCAAATATTGACGCTTTTGACTGTTGCCATTTTTTGTTCACGTAAGCAGCATGCAATGCATTATGGTAACCCTGGGCTGCGTTTCAAGATATGGAGCATCGTCTATTCATCTGCATTAATCAGGGTCTAGGCTACTTGATGTAAATCAGGGGTGTCCAGTATGACTCCCTGCCAATGGACACTCACACAAAACTTTTAAACTAACCATTGTCGATAAGAAATGAAGACAGATTCTGCAGCTGCATGGCTTAGTTTTTGCCTTGAATGTTTTTAGAGACACATTTTGATTAACTTTTTTCTAACTTTCTAACTTTTCTGTTTAACAGAAAGATGAAAAAGGAAAAAAGGGAACGTTTTACCCATTTGGTTTCGATTTCACCTTGGATACGAAAAATGTTGTAATGTATGTCATATTCTCAAAAAATGATGTTTCAGAATAACATCATCGGACCACTAGGTGTCTGTTGGACCTTAATCTAACAATCCTTCTTTCCTGGTCAGCATTATGTAGCATCCCATGCAGCAATGATATGACGATGGTAGTGAGGGCTTAACATTGTGAGAAGAACAAATTCCTCACATTTTTTCATAGACAATTTCACAGAAGTCTGATGTTTGGAGCAGCTGAGTGGTGTGGCTGGTAAGTTACTGAGTGGTGTAGTTGGTAAGTTACTGAGTGGTGAGGTTGGTAAGTTACTGAGTGGTGTGTTTGGTAAGTTACTGAGTGGTGTATTTGCAGGCCACGAATATTTGTAACTGCAGGGAAAATGTATTCTTCTAAAAAGCGGGACCTCGGAGCAGTGGGTGTTTGTTTTTGGGGTATCATTATCAGGATAGGTTTTTGATGTGTGTAGAGGACACAGGCACTAGTCAGGAGTTAAGATCTCTTTTTTTGGTGATGAACTGGTGATGCGGATAATTTGCACCGGACCTGGTGAACGTAGTTGTCATGTGGTAAATGCATGCAGATCGTCCATATTTGTGCACTGCGTTATCGCATCGCACTGCTGAGAAATCGGCAGGTGAAAATTTTAAATAAATGGAATCAGCCAATAAAATTGCTATCGGCGCATCTGTGACGGTGAGTGTAAGGAACAGACAAAAACAGAGATGTTCTGCAGGTTAAGGAGTCTCTGAGGCCCTATCTGCAGACATCTTTCATCGTCCATCTGCTCCCGTACAGCAGGTAGGTAGATATAACCGTATGAGTAGCATATGGACACATGCACATGTATGTATGAGTGTGTGTGTGTGTGTGTGCGTGTGCGTGTGCGTGTGGGCATGCGTGTGTAAAATCTCACTGTTGGTTTCTTGCCCTCCTTGAGCACGGTCTTCCGTCTCAGCACCCCCTGCACTGTGACTGCTCCAGGATACAAGTGAACTGCGAGCTCCTCTGACTCCGCTGAGCTGCAAACAGGACAGACACAAACATTACAAGCTATATGACACAAACACACACACACAAGACAACATGCATGTTCTCATGCATGCACGCATACCAGATACAAATCAGAGATGAACTTGGTAGTAAAGGCAGACACAATCTGCAAAGCCACCTTAAAGTCTGCTTCATGGAAATACTTTTCTTTAAAGCTACATCTATTTCTGTCTTGTTTTCACAGAATTGAATTTCACAGATATAAATCTTAACGCTGGGATCTGCAGAAAGAAGAGCAGAGGCGGACAAGGTGGTGTGCAGATTGTGTCTGTCTGGAGGATCAGAGCAGGAAGCCCAGTGCAGGAGCCCAGTGAAGCCTGGTGGAAAGAGAGAGAGAGAGACAGAAAGAGAGAACCATCTCTAACCGCAAGGGACGCTTTTATATGCAACGTCCATGAGAATTGGCTTTAATAATCCTGAGGAGTCTGTTCCTCTCTACCTCAGGAATGAGGATGTAACAGTTTGTTTCCAGTAACACATGGAGCTCAGTGTGACTGTGGAAACTCACTTTTTGCTCCAAGCTGTGTGAAATATCTTGGAAACTTATCACAAGAAGAAGTCCAGGTTGACCATAAGCTTTCTGTGTGTGTGTGTGTGTGTGTGTGTGTGTGTGTGTGTGTGTGTGTGTGAGGCAGACATGCAAGAAATTTAAGAAAGCAAAAGGTGGATTATAGACTGATGGTACGCAGCAAAAGATGAAGACCCCAAACAGATCCTTTGCCCTTCACCTGATTCATGATTTCACTAACACACACACACCTACACACACACACACACTAGTTCCCACCACCAGATTATCCCAGCACTACACACACTCTAAGCACCAGCACACAGCGGCCCCTGGCAGGGACTGAGGGGCGTGAAGTGAGGATAAGAGAGGGTTTGGTTCAGGTCAGGTTGGTTCCGGTCGGGATGTTTGTACCTGCTGGGCCTCAGGACTCCTCTGTAGGGGATGCGGGCCACGCGGGTCACTGGGCCCAGAGAGTGATAGAACCGAGTCCTGTTCAGAATGGGATAAGACAGGATAGGATAGGGGGCACGGGACACTGTTAAGGCTGTGAGGGTGTTTCTGTTCCCTTCAGATTGCATGGGTTAGGGCTGAATGGAGGAGCGGTCATTTGGTTAGAGGAGTTATTGATGAATGTGCGTTCACAGGGTTATTCAACAGTTTAAAGAAGAGGTGTTTTGGAAGGAGGAATCAGATGATTTTCAGGCAGCTGATTCTAGAGTGTGGCTACAGACACTTGTTGGCACGGAGGGACTACTGGTTAGGGGATTTAAATGCTAAGCTCTTAATGCATTTCAGGCTGCCGCAGAAGCATCTGAGAGCAGCGTTGGAGGGATGAGGCATGATGGCCCTGGCTGCAAGACTAAAAGCAAGGCTGGACGCTGCGTGAGTTTTAATGGCCGATCATTTCGCATAGCTGTGTCTTGAGGCCAGAGCTTTGAAAATTATACAATCACATCAGGGGGAATTTATGATCTTACATGTGGATGTGATGAAAAAAAGCACGGCAGACACGGACGTAGCAACCTTACCTCTCAAAAGCAGGCCAAGACACCTCTTCACTGAGCTCAGAGCCCTCGCTGCTCCCTGTGTGCGGATACAAATCATCACAAAAACTGAACAATGTCACTGACAATACAAACTGGGCATCGCGGTCATATGCATACACGCGTATGTCTTACCAAGTGAAATACCGCTGGACAGAGTTGAGCTCTCAGCTTGTCCCCTGGTGGGACTGTGGCTCTCCATCACACTGTCGTCCAACAGGTGGCGAGAACCAGCGTTGGGGAACGTAGCACTTTTAAACTCTACTGTGTTCATCTTATGGATAAAACTACTTAAGCACAGAACACAGAAACAAAGAAAACAAGTAAGTATTCTTACTTCACGACATTGTTTTATAAATTCTGCAAGTTTTTCAGGCCATCATCTTCATCATGATTTAACGAAGGATTGATGCATTGTTGACGGATGTATAGGGATGTCACGAAAACTGATACTTTGGTACTAAGCTGATGCCAAAATTCTGAAAACATGATGTCACTCCATTCATTTCTGTAACAGCTTATCCTGTTGGGGGGTCATGGCAGGGTTCACCCTGGACAAGTCACCAGACTATCACAGGGCTGACACATAGAGACAAACAACCATTCACACTCACATTCACACCTACGGACAATTTAGAGTCACCAATTAACCTGCATGTCTTTGGACTGTGGGAGGAAGCTGGAGGACATATGTCAGTAAACTGTGGGCTATATATTAATATATGTTTCCTCGCTCACAAAATCTCATAAATCCAAACAGACTAGTACTTTGAATTCAAGGCAGATCATCAGGGACTGATAAAATTTAAATCAAAATGTCTTCAATATAGGAGTGCATGTTCAAGCAATGGTACTGAATTGGATATCGATAATTGTAGAATTTCCCTGGTATTTGTATCAACCACTAGATTTCTGGTATTGAGACATGCCTACTGATGAAAATACAGTTTTTCTACGTAATATAATTCGAAACAACTGACTTGTAGCCCAGGCTGTGGCACTTCCTGTGGCCGTAGGGCAGCAGGTTCCTGGGGGAGGGCGGCGTGGCCGGGATTTTGGTTCCTTCAGCTGCTACCGTACATTTACGGCCGCAGAGAGGAGATGCTGACGCTTCCTGGCCTGTAGGTAAGAGTGGGAGGGAAGGACAGATTTACAGACCAGGAAGAACATAAAGAAAAGAAATGATAAACAGGTTTAATTCTACATTTAACATCCAACATACCGACAAGATCCTCTTTGGAGGCGTTTGCTCGCGGTGTGCTGGTGCCTGGCTCAATCTTCTGTGACAACCTAAATAAAGAACATTGACAAATCCATCAGCTTGAGTTCGTCCTCTGTGAATTTCTCATCATTACAATAACTTTGGGGATGGAATATTTTTAGCAGAGACAGATGAGCCCTGTGGCAGTCAGCAAAAAATAAAATCTGGAACAGGAACAATAAATTATGAGGCAAAACCACAGCGTACATCTGAGTTTGGTTTCTTACTTGTAATTGTCATCCTCCACAAACTTCTGCAGCTCCTCAATGTATCTGACTGAGTTGAGATACTTCTGCACATGAGGCAACACTGGGACGTCTGACAGAGGGGAGATGAGGACAAACATTAAATAAACGCACATACGTGTTCGTGTGACCTAAAACTGCTCATATATCTACGCTAGGATGCTTGTCTAGAGTGAGGATAACAATTTACTAATAACGTGCATGTCCTTGTTTTAATGTTTTGTTCATACAGATGCTTGAAACAGATGGAGAAAAATTATCGGAGCTAATCTGAGTACATTTTATTCAACTTGTTCAGATGTCACAAAAACACACAGAAGTATTGATGAATAGCAAGTATTCTGTTATTGTGTCTCCATGGCAACAGAAAATGAGGTGGCAAGGATATGATGCAGTTTCCCTCCAGTCCTTTACACAGACTTCCATCTCCTTTGTGTTGTTTTTGTTCTTCCACACAAAAGATAAAATCTCATCAGATTACAGTGAGAACGTGTCAAAAGATTCATCAGCTGACTTCACCATAATTACACTGTCAACTTCTAAAGGTCAGCAAAATTGATCCAGGTCATGTCTGTGTGTCGTATGATGTTGCCCCTGTGTTTACAGGCCTGTTTGTTGACATAGGAATGTCGCCAACATTTTAGCCAACAGGACGCCAGAATAAACAGCAGGCTTTTCCATTATAAGACTTGGGCGCAGTGCATTTACACAGAGAAAAATAAACTGAGACACATTTTGCTGTCATTTCTGGTCGTAATGCATCTGTCTCCTCGTCAGTTAACCAGGTGAAGTGAATTAAACGCCGTGGCTAATAGATGTGTTTCCTGATGGCTTCTGACCAGCCAGAAGGTTTGAAAGAACAAGTTCAAATGGACCTGGTTTTAAAGCTGCACTCCACAGCTCCGGTGTGGGAACATTTTAGAGCCTGTTAAAGTGAACAGGCCACTGTGTCAACTTCATTTGGCAACAGCAAGTAACCTAGAAGCTCATGTCAAACAGGTTACTTTGTCTTACTTGCTTTTGTTGTTTCTTATATCGATGACGCCTTCACACCTTGAATTAAAATTCATTTTAGGTGATGGGATTGTAATCAGATAGTGCTTGATCACATGACAGTACAGGTGTAAGTGCACCCAAAACCCATTAAGAACAGAGTGTAAGTGCATTTCCATTAACCCTAGAAATGCGCAAAACCTAAATATCGCAATAAAAAAACAGGTAATGGAAACACTTGCATTTCGAAAAAACTCAAATATCGAGAAAAAGTTTTTACGCTCTCATGAGGTGGTTTTTTCAGATGTGTCAATATAGAAGTAAGTCGTAAAAGTGTAATGGAAACACTTTTTTTGCAAATATACGTCAGTGGACATGACATCAGGGTCACATGACTGGTTCAGGGTTCACTCATTCAAACTAATAAGGACTGTGCCTTTGGAATACCACTCGCAGCAGTGGCAACCAAAACGACTGTTCCAGCTAGCGGGAGATTTGCAATGTCCATCTTACTTCCACAAACAAAGTGGAGTCTCGTGGGACGAGATTTTACGAGAATCACGGTGCATACGCAAAACACCTGTTAATGGAAACACCTGCGAGTCGCAATTGTGCTTTGTCGAAACTTTATAAATATTGCTTTTTTTTTCACAAACTTGTAATGGAAACGCCACTTGTGATCCGATCTGTCAAAGCACATCTACAGATGGTCAGGGATGCATTGTGACCACATTATACACAAGTGTAAATTGCGTTTTTATTCCACATACAACATCTACGTGGGCAGAAATATGTAACTGTGTGCGACTGTGTGCGACAGTGAAGCATCCATCACTGTCCTTCACCATACGTGAAACTGCAAGGCGCACAGGTGTCTCTCTCTCATCTGATGCTAACACTACTGTGGTGTCACCCTCATCTCTAACGTATTCCTGTCTTTACAGTCAGGAAGGCTGTTTCATCCTTATCAGCCTCGTTGTTCTTCCCAACTGGCTCTGACAGGTTAAATCATTTCTAGATGCAATCTGCATATGAGATGAATTTACTGCACGTTATAGAGGGGGTTTACTTCTAGCTAATATGTTACTTCACACTTTGTTAACAAAGGTCCTGGACTGGTACTATTTTCCTGTTGGGGAAAGACCCTCTGTACCTGTGTCAAATATTTAATGTTTTTTTAAAGTGCAATTGTTGTAAACAGAGACCAAGGTCTTTTATTATGATTTTATAATATTATACTATCAATGGCATAAAATGATAAACAGAAAATAATATAGTTTATTGCAATTATTGCTGGGAAAATATAAAATATATATCCAACACTGAAGCTTAGACCTGAGTCCTCTGGTTTCTTCCTGTCACTGCACCAGGCTGCTCTCACATCACTGAGTGGCTGTGAATAACTCACCGTAGGTACATGATCTCTGCAGGTCCGATATGATTCTGAGAATGTTGTTCATCAGGTTTGATCTCTGTTCGTTCTCCAGTATGCTGCCCGTGGAGGGGTAGGCCGAGTCTATATATGTCAGGTCAGACAGGTACATCCCTGAAACAGAGCAGCAGACAGAGAAGATGCAACAGGTTACTTGAAACCAGGAGAAACACACCGCCCTCCTTCTTTTTCCTCTCATCCTTTGGTGAGTCAAGGGCCCCGCTGCAAGCCAAACGAGGACAGCGTCCATCTGTTGGAGGTGTAATTGTAACCACCAGCGGGGGAACACAGGGATTTTCTTGCCTGGGCACAGAGAGCTCAGCTCATTAAAAAGGCAAACGAGGCTGGACGTCGTCACAGGGCCAGGTTTTCTTGGATGCATGATGCAAGTGCCATGCAGCTGTGGATTTCTAGGGGTGAAGACCAGCTGGTAATTGCAAAGAGCTTGTTTTAAATCACAGGGGTCGTAATAGACAGTAAAAAGAAACTCGGCTAATTGTATATACTTTGCTCAAGCTTCTAGCAGACGTCTTTTTGCCCTGATCCGCTCCCCTTGGATCTAAATGAGTGCCTTGAGTGGATGACTGATCTTCTCTTCAGCCTTTCCAACTCGGGGCCATCTCTTTCCTCCCTGTTCCCTCTCCTTGCCTCTTTTTGGCAGACTTGGAGCAGAGTTGAGATTCTAAGTCTCTCATTACATAAATATTAACATTAAGAGACAAACCCAGGAGCGGCTTCCCACCATTCTGAAAACAGAGACTAACAAGCTTCAACGTGAAATGATGGTGTGCCTTTCCTTCCACGCTCCTCTCTCCCTCTCTCGTGCTTAATGTTTCTCTCATACACCAGTGTCGAGATTGAGTGCAGATGTGAAAAAAGTTATCACACAGTAGACTACATGACACCCCCCCCCCCCCCCCCCCCCCCCCCCCCCCCCCCCCCCCCCCCCCCCCCCCCCCCCCCCCCCCCCCCCCGATCCTTGAAAATCGCTTTTATACACACAGATGTGTGCGCACACATTTACAGCAACGTGCACACAGAGTCTTAACACAGATGCACAAATAAGCAGCGACAACAGAAAAGCAGGATCAGATCAAGCAGATAAAAAGGGCCAAAGCTTGTCCTCGGGATGCCATTCGCACACAAACACAACACCATCTGATTAGAATCAGACAGAGGGAGGCTGAGAGCAGGAGAGGCAGTTTACAAGAGTTTTGGAGACACAGCTGTAAGGGGGGAAAGTGAGAGATGGGGAGGAAGAGGAGGAAGAGAGGGCTCCTGAAGGCTTAACCGCTGTAGCTGCTCTTCTGCGAGCATGTCAGGGATAACAGCAGTTAGTCATGCACAAATCCATACTGCCTGGAACACACACAGACAGATGCGTGCTCAGAGGACCTGTGGTTAGAGGACACAGGCATTTTGTATGTGTTTACATGTAGCAGAACTTGTATGAAAACATTAAAATAGAAACCTGAGGCTAAGAGGGAAGAAACGTGCCACAATATATGAAGAAATCATCAGATATCTGCTCTTCTTTGCCAGTTAACTAAAAGATCTTTCAAATATATAAATATATTTGTCCATGTCTCACACCTGAACACATTAAAGTAAATGACAGTGCTGATAAGGACCAGACAAGCTCAGACTGCACCAGGAGGAATGATTTTGCCCCAGTAACCTCACAGCTCAGCTTTATCTGCCTTCCTCTGTCCCCTGCTCTCACATACCCAGCTGAAGCTCAACAGGAAGCTGCTCTGAAACCTACGCGGCATTACAATCAGCTCTTCCTACTTTTGAAAGAGAGAGCCAAACAAGAAAAATGAGGGGAATTGTGGGTTGCAATTAAAGAAAAAATGGTAAAAGCAGTTCGTGCCTGTGCCCCAGACTCAGCAAAAACACTTCTGAATTCAAGCAGATCTCATTTCCTTTTATTTCTTCTATATAAGAACCATGACGGTCATTGTTGAGGATGGGAAACTTAATGAGGCAGCTCTGTTATTCTCTTTTTCTGTCTTTTTTTCCATCAGAGTGACATCAGAGGTGGGCTGGGCCACTCCAAAAAATAGAGAGGGGAAGAAGAAGAAGAAAAAAAAAAAGGCAATCTCAAACTCCCACACCCTCATCCCCCTTCTCCTCCCCTCTCTTCCTCCTTCCCCTCCCTCCTCTAGTCTCCCCCATCCTTTGTGAAAAACTCAAGGCATCAGTCCTCAGAGCTCAGTCTGTTGAAGTGGCCGGCTATTGAACCATGCCCCAGCCCGGGCCCCAGGACAGCTGAGTCCACAGAGAGGAACACATCTTTGGGAAGTAGGCCTTTGGCAAAAAAAGGGGCTTCATATATATACTGTGATTTTCAGCTGCAGGACAGAGGGAGTGAGTGGAGGGGAGCAACCTCAGAAGACTGGAGACAAAGAGACAGAGAGATGAGTCCTGAGCACTGCAGCTCGGTGAAGACACAACACAATACACACGTGAAACTATAACTGAAGGAAACACACCCCCACTGCTGGTAACACAAAGAAGGTAAATGCTGCCTGAGTTCATTCTGTTTCCAAGTTTGCTTTTGGAGTGTGTGTCAGCATGACAAAGTGTGTGTGTGTGTAGGTGTATGTATGAGAGTCTGGGCAGCTGTGAGAGCTCTGGCTGAGAGGTTGGAGAGGTTAAGACGTTTCGTGACTGGAGGCTCCGGCTGCAGACAGAAACATTTAGCAACGCTTCTTTGGCTTTCCTCTGGAGTCTGAGGCCTGGGATATATACTGTGTACGCATGCTGAGAACTGCATCATGTGTATATGTTCAAGACGTGAGCAGGTCAGGGATGTTAAGGGTGTGTGGGACGCCATCTGTGAAGGCAAAATACAGCAATGCATTTGTTAAGGAATGTGCTTGGTGATTTTGGCATGTCTATTGTGTCGAGGGTAAAGTTTAATAAAAGAATATAAAGAGAAAAACGCCCAAAATAATGAAAATGTGCTGCAGGAGACTCAAGTGTTTTCTTAGATGTAACAAGGAGAAATACTCCAGCTGTGAAAACTTATTTCTGTTTTACACTACGCCCAACCTGAAGATAAACACATAGCCAAAGACAGACAGAAAAAAAGAAGAGAAAGAAAAGTAGGGCATTCCAGTGAAACACTTGGGGGAGGCTGATCTGATCAGATGTAGAGATTCGAGCTCTGGAGCCAGGCTTGTTTATTTTTTCTTGGCTTTTGGTTTCCTAATACAGCACCATCTGAGCCTGGCCACTAACAGGGGTGCAGGGATGGAGGCGAGTTAACCCCGTGGAATCGGGGTTAGATCAATAATATTACGCCTAATGAGGCGTTGACATGTCTCTCAGCACATGCTTCTCCTTGTTACATATGAGGGTCCTGAGATCAGACGCTGAGGCGCACAGAAAACACACTGTAGTTCGTGAAATCTGTTAACAGACTCTGAGAGAAGTCCGTTCCACAGTCGTGTTAGGGAGGGAAAAAAGTGATGATACGATGTTATCCAACCCTAACCACATCCTCTATCAAATACACCCTGTGGATACAAGACACTTGAGTCACAACCTTGCCATGATAGCAAAAGCTTTGAACACTAACAGCATCAATCTGGTGCACTTCCATATCACCGAGTCACAATTATCCTCAAATGTTTTCACTTAGGGTCCGGGCCTGTTGGTGGGATCTGTGGAAAATATTCTGTTCGCTACAAAGCCACATCTGTGAATGCTGTAAACGACCATGAGAGGGAGGACAGTGCAGAGTGCACACACACACACACACACACACACACACACACACACATAAGAGAACACACACTCTTTGAGCTTCAATAAGCTTGGAGAAAAAGTCAAAAATGAGGGAATGGCAAAAGGCTAAGAAAACATTTCTTGAGCTTGCTGGTTTTTCCCGTAATAAATCACAAGATCAATACCTTCAATAACTCAGCCTGGAAAAGAAAAAAAAAAAGAGAGCTGAAAAGATAAAGAGAAGGAGGGAGCAGCTGTCTGACGAGTATCCAGAACATTCTGTGCTGCAGCGGCGGTGCTTGGCCCTCGGGTTCACCTGAAATCTGGCCTCATGGGCGACAGGGCCTGGGAGAGAGCTTTAAATGGGTCATTACAAAGCAATCCACACATATTCTCTTAACCCTCACCTAGGACTTTAAATCACAGCAGACTTTCTGTTTGATGTCTTTCCTATTTTAAGTTTTTAACAGACCCTGGAACAGCCAATAAATAGCGGTCAGGTAGTGCGTGGAGGGCTGTCAGAGCCAGTTAAACGCTGACTTCATCCATACTGTCACAGACTATGTTGTAACACAGCAGGAGACTGATAGCTCGCTCAGCCAGCACCAGCCAACTTGTGTTTTTTGAGCGGGGGGGGGGCAATGGGCATGCGGCCAATCGTATCTCACTATGTGACCTGAGGCTGTGTGTGGACCCTTCGCAGACACAGCTAGGCTGATCTTATCAGTGAGACGCATATAGAAGCAGATAACACACACTGGATACAGACACAGGCCTGTCTGAAAACACTGCTGTTACGCCGCACTGACCACATGTGGTTAAATCCAACCGCAGCACAACAAGCCGGACACATTGGATCTCTTAACTCAAATCTACATTATGAGCTACAGGGCTGCCTGTAGAACTACTGGATTGGGCTTTAGAATAACAAAAAATGACTGTGAGGGGGGAAAAAGGAGGAAAATTCAAAGACAAGTCTGCAGCTGTTCTGTGAAGCTCATTTGAAATCCCCCTAATGAGAGCTTGGACACAGTTGAATGGACAGGTCACCATCGGGAGGAAGAGGTCAGCCTGGAGGTCAGGACAAATTGACAAGAGAAGTAGAGGCATGTTACTAAGTAGAGCCAGTGGGCAATGAGTGTGTGTGAATTTACGTGCTCTTCCTTGCTGATTCAACTAATAGAAAGCACATGCAGGAGGAGGTAGGAGCTTAAGGTGAGGGTGTGACTCAAGGGAGAAAATAAAACTGGGGAAAAGTTGTGACTGATCTGCTCAACCTGAAAATGTACACCATCCAGCCAAACAAACATTTATATAAATGCTGTAAAAATTTTAACACTCCTTCCTCCTGGCTCTCCTCTCTCCCCTGACCCTCCTCC